GACTGCTCTGACAGGGATCACAATAGAGGGTCCTGGACAGAGCTGGAGAAAAATGTAGAACAAAATTCTAACTCACAAAAAAAGGCCAGACTTACTGGCCTGACAGAGACTGGAGAAACCCAGAGAGTATGGCCCCTGGACACCCGTTTAGCTCCGTAATGAAGCCACTCCTAAGGTTCACCTTTCAGCCAAAGATTAGACAGGCCCATAAAACAAAATGAGACTAAAGGGCCACACCAGCCCAGTGGCAAGGACTAGAAGGCAGGAAGGGGCAGGAAAGCTGGTAATAGGGAACCCAAGGTCGAGAAGGGAGAGTGTTGACATGTCATGGGGTTGGTAACCAATGCCACAAAACAATATGTGTACGAATTGTTTAATGAGAAGCTAGTTTGTTCTGTAAACCTTCATCTGAACTACAATAAAAAAAAAAAAAGGAAAAAAAAAAAAAAAAATGTATATCCCCTGAAGTCTTCTTACAACCAAATAATAGTTTAACTTAACTAGTAAAAAATACCTGCCTTGAGCATTTTGCTAACAACAGCAACTCAAAGATTAGATAAAAACCTTAGGGGGCAGAGAGTTTATGTTAATGGGGGAGGAACAAGTCCGAAAAGGGGGGTGAGAATGGTTGCACAACTCAGAGAATGTAATCCATGTCACTGAATTGTACATTTAGAAACTGGAAAATTGGTGTATGTTCTGCTGTGGATATTCTCAACAACAACAAAATACATAAAGTATAAAAAAAGACAAGAAAACCCTATGAGTGTGTTCTTCTCTGCCACACCTGGGGTCATCATGAATGACAGTCAACTCGTTGGCAATTGATCACCCTCTCAAACGAGACCCAGTGGATCGCCGCTGCCGTGCAGGTCAACTGCACCTTTCCTTATTTTCTGTCAATCACTGTGAGAGGGGAGACTCTCTGAAGATACGAAAACCTCTGAACTGCACACTTGTATTATATTTCAATAAAACTGCTACAATAAAAAGAACAGGTTCTGGGGGGTGGTTTTTTGTTTTTTTGTGTGTGTGTGTCTGACTCCCAGCGTCCGGCCCAGCGCGCCCCCTGGCGGCCACGCGGCTGTCTTGGGAGAAGTCGGCGCCTCTGGGCTCCCTCGTTTGCTAAATGGGGAAAGTGGGGCTGTGCCGCCACACAGCTTGCACGGCGCCGAATCCTGGCAGGCTCGGACAGATCCTTTATTACCATTTATTGGTCTTCCAAGACTTGGCCAGGGCCCTCGTCACCCCTCACCTGTCCCTCCCCACAGCCCTGAGGGGAAGGGTCCCACCGAGGGAGGGGAGTCTGGGTCACCTCTCCCCCCAGCGTCAGGCCCGCGGCAGGGACCGCCCGCGGCGGATGGTCTTCTTGATCCAGGACACGTAGGGGGCCACGGCGGTGGCCACGGGTGGCTTGAAAACGTCGGTGCAGGCCTTGGAGCTGAAGGACAGGATCCCAGCCACAAAGCCTTTGCCACACACCAGGGGCCCACCCGAGTCGCCCTTCGGAGACAACAGAGTGCAGGTCACTGCTGTGCCCCCTCGGGGGAGCAGGACCAGCCCCGGGCCTCGGTCTCCCTGGGGGCCCGGCTCCTCACTTCTTGTTCCCTCCTTCCTTCCCTCCCTCCTTTCCTCCTTCCTTCCCTCCCTCCCTCCTGTTCCTTTGACACGCCCTACTCACTTTCCCTACCCCAGGGCCTTTGCACCTGCTGTGCCTGATGCCCAGACCATCTTTGGGGCTACAGTTCGAATCCCAGCTCTGCCACTTCCTGGCTGCAGGGCCTCAGGCAACTTACTGAACCTCTCTGAGAAATGGGGCTAATGGTGGGGCCTGACCTTGTGGGGGGCCCCCAGAGAGCCCAGGCTTCCCGCTGCCTCTTCCCCACGATCTCTCACCATGCAGGGGCCCTGGTGCTGGACCTCTGCTGAGAAGCAGACCATGTGAGCGTTGATACTACCATTCCAGAAGCGGCTGTTGTTGCACATCCTGGCATCCAGCACGTGCACATCCAGCTCCCTCAGCCTCCGGGCCGGCTGCCCATCGTGGTGGGTCTGCCCCCAGCCAGGAATGCTGCACCGTGCCCCGGCCAGCACCTTCTGCTTCCCTCCTGGCAGGGGCAGGGGCCGGATGGTCTTGGTGGGCTTCACCTTGCCTTCCAGCTGTGGAGGACAGCAGGGGGGCACAGGTGAGTGAGGGACATGGGGGGGAAGCCACAGGTGAGTGAGGGACACTGGGGGAAGGAGAGGGAGGTGCATGGGGGGGCATG